AGTATTACATATTACAAAATACTTTCAAAAATCATAAATTAGTTAGGTAAGTAAGGTTAGTCTGTTGTCTCTGATAATTATTTATAAGCATGTATGCATGTTTAACAATTTCATTTATTATTTTAATATTTTATGTGGTAATAATGTGTTGTAAATTAAATTATATTTAATTCTAAAACACAAAAATTCAATAAAATTATTTGACATTTGTACAGCGACTAAACTGACTATAATTTATAAATAAAAATAACTAATTTTATTTTATTTTTTAAATAATATTAAATTATGTGTATGTTACCTTATTATATAATAAGCAGTATGTACCTACATGAATCGCAGAGCCCTTTATATTTTTAGGATATTCTTTAAAGAAGTTTTTTTTATTATTATTAGTAAATTAACAATCTATGCTGCATGCATAATAGGAAAATACAATTACAGTTACAGTCTACAGATATACAGTTTTTATTTACATAAATAATACGAGGAGGGAGGCCGTCCAGTGATGGAACCCAAAGTGATTTTAGTTAGTTAAGGTAGTTAAGGTAGTTAGTACACATTGCGGTTACAAGTACGATATCATTATAAATTATAATAAACACAATTAAATAATATTTTGAGGAAAATAATTAAATCATGTGTATGCAACTGTAACAAATCTGATAATAAATAAATAAAAATGTACATCATTTTATAATGAACTATGGTATTACAATTTAATTACGAGTTAAATGATATACCATGTAACTATACTGTAACTTTATGTAAGTATCTTCATTATTTAATATATAATAGCATATTATGCTATACATAAACATGTAAAATGCATTTGGAAAATATATTATTAAGTCCCATGACAATTGAAATTTGAAATCGACCAAGTGTATACGCACGCAAAACAAATAAATAACCAACGCTTTAATTTCTCTTTAGTTTGTATGGCAAATGTCCAATAAATACTATTTATATGTTTATTAAAATTAAAGTACGTTTTTGGATTTATACAAAATCTTCAAATAATCGTCTGCATCAACAACCAGTACTAGTTTATTATATTGCATCTATTTGGTTGTAAGTTATAACTTATTGCATTTAATAAATTTCGATCTATGATATCGGTTTACCAGTTTATCTTAATAATAATTTAAGTAAATTATTTATATTAGTCAATTGGTGACATCCCTTAAAAGGGCGCTACTGTCTTACAAACGCATAACATAGCAAATTGTACGCTCAGTAGATCACGTTTAGCTCTGTTAGTTTAAAAATTACAGTGAATATTGACCTCTTAGAAAATTTAAAGGTAAGATTATTATCTATTGACCACCATAGGTTTTTTTTCGACTTTAATTTTGAAGCAAGTTATACAAATGCACAAACAATTTACAGTTTCAAGATACTCATAACTTGCTTTAAAATTAAAATCGAAAAAAAACCTATGACGTTCAATCTTACATTTAAATTTTATGATTTTATCTTTAAAATTAGCTTAAAATTGAATCGGGATTTGAATATTTCATATAGTACTTAATTATATTATAATGATTGTTTCTTTTTATAAAACTAGTTTAATGTACGCATTATATATTATTATGCGATGGAATGAACGACTTATGCGTCGTTTTCTGTTATTGCAAAAATAATAGGTAAAGTACAAGGACTGGATACATTCAATGTGCAAACTAAAAGCCGAACAATTTCAACACATGAGCTGAACAAAGCCGGTGGCGGTGGATCAAATACAAATGAAAGGGCGGGAAGAATAGAACACTCGGCCTTGGTGCACCTTGCTCTCGCGAGTATTTCGCAGAAATGACGTTCGCGACAATAATAGCCACTGAGTTTCAAGAAGCAATATATTATGTTATGTTTTTGGCCGTGAATTGTGAACCCGACAAAGGACATTTTTCAATACGAAACAATAGACCGAAAAAGGTACGTTGACCGCGATCGAAAACCGATTCATATCGTTTTATTGGTCATTGGTCGAACTTAAATAACCAAACTGTCTGTATACACACAAATGTACCAACATTACCAACACACACGAACACCTCTATATACATGGCCAGATGGTTTTGGTCACTAAGTGCACATACGATAAGTCGATAACTATATGATTCATCAGCAATCAACCAATTACGAGTTGTCATCGCGCGTGTAGCCATTAGCCAGTGTAAGTAAAATGTAGAGGGAGAATATAAACGATCGAATCAATGTAAGTATTCGAACAAATTAAAAACACAAGTTTAATGACCAATATTAAGCAAAATACACAACCACGAAATACTGGTATACCTACGCGTATTATGGTAGAAGAATGTGTTCTTAATAATTTATCATGATGTATCAATATAATGGAAATGGCTTGATAAGTTCAAGTCCCTACGAATAATATTTTTAGGATTATAAAAATCATTATTTTTAATTTAAAATTTAAAGTATCCAATTTCGTCAAAATCTTAAAAAAAACTTAAAATGTCCACGAAGAAAATATTTTTAGGTTTCTGAAAGTAATAACTTATGAGGAACCTTGTATTTCATTTTTTAATAATTTAAAAAAAAAATTATCTTGTGTGTATCAACATTCCTACTATCAAAAATATCACAAAAAGAGCTAAAATATGTCTAGAGTATGCTAACAGCTAACATAAATATTTGGTAAAAATTTCAAGTCTCTGGAGTATACGATGATTTGATTTTTAATTATACTACAAAATCACTTTGCTAGAGTGCTGAATTCCTAGTTTTTAAGCGTATTTTAATACTACTCATTAATTGTAATGTAGAGTTTATTTATGAACATTATTGACTACGTACAATAAACAAATAAAATTCAACAATATTATAATATATCAACAACCGTAACTATGTACTGGTAACTACCAGTGAAAGGACGGACACAACGGGGATATATGTAAAGTGTTCTAAACATAGTTTAGAAACTTTAAAAAAAGGTTTTGCGAAAATATTCCAGTTTTCCAGTAGTTTTTTTTTTGTTTCCGGATTATTTTGAAGAGTACAGGGAAGTTTTAGTTTCCCTACCAAACTACAAACTAGATCCAAATCATTAGCAAAAACCACCTTCAAAGTTGAGGACTGAAGCATTTTACTACTTATAAATTTGACGTTACACACACACACACACACACACACACACACAAAAAAATAATAAAAATAAAAACAACACAACATTGTAAAGCAAACACATTCATCGCTCCACTCAGAATCTACAAAGTATTAACATAATAATAAAATCTTTACAAGAAACGAGTGGCATTTTGTTCACAAAATGTTACAAGTTACGTACTTTCAATATCATAATATTTGCCACACGTTATGAAGTCGGAACACCATTCGGAAATTCAACTATTATATAATATTATCAGGCACAAATATTTGTGTTTGTATATTTGACGACCACGTGAATAAAACGAAACGAGGTATAGATAAATACTAAATAGTATACTATGTAGTATTGTTATTTGTTTCATTCCATTTCGCCGAAAAATACCTACCAGGTTTTACTCATCAGAGCTTGGATGGGTAGGCCTACCCCCCCCCCCCTAATGTGGGAATTAACTCTTGCAAAATTCTTACATGCAAACTCGGCTACTGGGATTTAAATTAAAAAAGCGTGTTCAATTTGAATTCAATGATATAATATTATCGACATTTGAACTATAAATGATTATAAAAAAAATCTTACTTAGGTATCCATGTATTTTTAATATTTTTAACACCAAAAACCAAAGTTTATCCCGGGCGCTTTCAAAGAAAATCGATGTATTATTAAAGCAGGAAGTAAGCTATTTCAGGTGACATCAAATTTACATAGGTATAGGTACCATAGATACTAACTTATTCGAGAATGCTTAAAGTAATAAAAGAAGATGCTCTAAGCAATGGTTTAGTATTTAGCCCAAATACATTTAAAATAAATTGACTTTGGAATTGGTATGATTGTTATTTGTTTCAACCAGAGAAACTTTTGGCTATGAAACATCTATAAAAGGATGTTTATTCCACTTTGGTCAAGCAATTTAGAACTAAAATTCTATTTTATTATGATGGGTTTCGGTGAGATGGGCCTAAATCTATAGTATCTAATAGTTACGCACCCGTAAAAATGAGGATGCGCATGCGATAAGGATGCCTATGGATGAGTATTGAGTATAATCATTAACATAATGTACCAAGTTTATATCTCCAAACAAACACATAAAACTTTGTACCTATATAAATTTAATTCAATGTAGCTGTTCGATCTACACTGCCACTCTGTATATTGTTTTTCTACATTTCGGTATAGCCACTTCAAACTGCAATGACTTCTAAATCCTTGTATTTTTGCAATAGAGATTATTCGCAAACGAACCTGCGTCATAACATTCAATGGCTTATAAATTATAATAATATATTGACACCGTGACAAAAGAATTTACAATAGAACTTTGTTGACGCACGTGTGCTGTTTTCAACATTGTATGGTAATAATAATAACAACAACGATATTAGTGTGTATTGTGACGCGCGTGCGTAGGAAGTCACAGATAAGTAGGTACCTATCTATATTAAATCGGTACTGCGCTGGCACACGTGCAGCAGAGGAACGTTTCAAAACATCGCGGCAGTTGGTCACCCGGTTGATTAGCTTTCGATCCATTCATTGAACTCTTTCGGCGCCTCGACTTCGGAAGACGACGGACGAAAACGACAACAAAGACGGCAGCAGCGATGTCAATACGCAGTGAAAACGTCAACATTATAATATGCCAACGAATCGCGATGACAACGACCCGTTACACGTCGTTACCGGGTATACGTGCCGGGGCAACGGTCGCGGTTATCTCCGCCTCCGTGTACGCTCCGTGCCCGCCACCGACGCCGTCGTCTATGCCGCCGAATCAAAACAGTGTGTTTACTATATAATAATATTATTATTGTTGTTGTTGTTGCGTTTTTGTAGTAGGTATATTCTACTATTACCGTCGGTCGGTTCATCGACATCCGACGGTGGCATGCACGACGGTCATTTCGTCGGAATCTGCAGCGCAATAGATGCGCACCCGTATACCGTCTTCATCGTGCTGCACACGATGCCTATCGCGCCAGAGAAATTCCAGAGAGGGTATGATACGGTTTGTGTGCTCGTCGGCTGCCCGTGAGGGGGGGAGAAGTGGCCCGCCACCACGAGGCCTCGATGCAGCGCGAGTTATTTTCCCAGTATTCGCCATACGTACAAGATACAACACTTCCATAATAATATTATTATACACACGCGATGCGTCACGTGCCACCGCACGACCGTAGACATCCTCAAGGCCGTTCTTGTAGGTATGGTCAATGATCGACCACGCCCACCAGAAGTGGCAGCCAACGAACCCGCTGCTACCCCGCGAGATAAGCGTTATCACGCGGTTTTCGAATGTCCGAGACTCCACTCGACAATATCCGACCACCGGCGGTAAAAAACCAACGTAATTGTGCTGCACATTCATCATAATATTATCTTTATTATAACTGCGTAAAACTCCGAGTCGCTTTGTTTTTTCAGGCCTTCGATTTTCAAGTTTTCCTTTTTCTAACCAGACCCACCGGCCACCAGACTAAGATGGTTGGGGGGTGGTTCAGTCAGGTGGTTTGTCAGGGGACAGGGACCTCATTGTTATGGGGCTCCCAAACTGAAATTCAGAATTCTACATTTTGTAGATGTCACAAGTATAAAGTAAATTTAAAAAAAATATATTGGAAAATATTAAATATTTAAGTATGTTTTTGCCATACGGTGTGTATTTCGATGGTTTAAAGTTGATAGGCGATATAGTTTTCTAATTAAAGATTATTTAACCGTACCTAATGAACAATAAATTATATGTAATAAAATAAATACATACATTTTGATTTTTGAATGTTATACCATAATATGTAGATAACTGTTTTTTTTAAATGTTTAACATCTGTAACATTTTAAATTCAAAAATATTTTGGCCTTTAGGAGGTATATTCATTTTATGATAAGTTATATTATATTTGATGGGGCCCATTTTAACTGTTTGCTCTAGGTCCCATTATTCTATAAATCCGAGTCAGTTTCAACGTTAATATATAGGGCTTTTTGAAAACGGTCGGCCTTTACACTAGCTGCTGCAGTAGGTCCGGCCGTTGAGTGGTGTTGTTATAGGTTCGCACATATTATACTTCGTTTGTAGGTGTCTTGTATTGTTACCGAATATGACAGCTTCGTGAAGGTGAAACCTATGGCAGAAGTAGGAACCAGATGTTTTTACTGGTTTTCTGCTGCTGGGATATAATACGATGAAAAACGAGAAAAATTATTTTCCATGGGTATAATATTATGTACGTGTCATATTATTCTGATGTCTTATTCTATAGTACAGATAGCATGAAATGCGTATGTAATAATATTATAATGCATTAAGCACTACAACTACAGTTACATACCGAGCTGTCACGAATAATCGTTTTTGTTCTATTTAAAATTAATTTAAAATGTTCTCATGCACGTTTAATATAAATGATTAAATTCCGCATGTATATTCGGAAACATTTCCTCTTCTTAAAACTTGCATAATATAATACTATGTGTTAAACACTGTTAAGTGCTAACTTAATAAATCAAAATATTTATAATTTGTATATAGTTATTGAAAATATAATATAATATAGTAAAGCAATCATATTCATATTCAAAATATGTACATAATTTTACAGCTAGCAAAGCAATACTAAAGAAAATATGACCAATTACATTTACTTGTAGTGTTTTCAAATGATTGAAAGAATAATTAAACTTTCTATTATTGAATCATGACTGTCAACAATAAAACATTTTATGAATTTAATTTATACAAAATTAATTAAATTTAGGTACGTCATTTTCTAGGAACTGGAACTGGAACATACACCGACAATAAGTTAATTTTAGAAAATAATTACGTTTGCAGTGATTTTCATTTTTTCTTAAGTGTCAGATAATATATTACGCATAAGAATATATTATTTTATTAATATAATAATATTATTATGTTAGATAGAATACATAGATCATAGCTGGTGTCTATAAATAAACTATACCAGAATATTCAAATCTAAATATGTAGGTACTTATATTTTATATTTTTTTTTATATAATGTTTATGTTGACATAGATTTGATAAAATGTCAATACTATAGTAATATAATAGCTATAAATCATTAATGTATAATCTTTACAAACTGGTAGAATAATATTATTGTGTTATTATTATAAGACGGTCCTGTTTCAAGGGGCCAACAATTGGCAATTTACGTTCACGTTCAATATGTACAATATTTTAGACTTTAGTCTTACAGTCTATAGTTTAGAAGTATCTCTCAATTGTTTAAAAATATAAAAGCCAAACTGGTTAGTAGCGAATAATTAATTTTAATTAAATTTAAAAAAAAAGTCACATGGTGTTAACATACAGAAGTTGTTTGAAATTATATTTTATAGCAATCCATAGAGAAAAATAGGTACTTCTATAATATATAATAATGTATAGAATCTATACCGGTAGTGTACCGGCCAAATCAGGACGAAAGGAAGATCTATATATATATTATGTACAATAATTACAATAATAATAATCTAATAGGTAATAATCCCAAAAAAAATTGATCAAGGCACCAACCATGTGCCCCAGATACTAATATTATTCCTATCAATGTATATGCTACTTAAAAATCAAACTTTACTACAAATCGAATGCGCAATCAGTCAATATACAAATACTAATCACACAACACTCCTTCTTCAGCCAGTTCTGACCACCTATCTCTAAGGCTCTCGTTTTTTTTTTTTAAATCATCGATCAATTGATTTATTTTTCTTCTAACCACTGTCATCAATAAACTCTGGATTTCCAACAGTGGTTAAATATTAATATCAATAATCACCTCCTAAAAATTTAAAATGCACTTATAAAAAAAAATCTAACCTACACTAGCTGAAGTACCTAATGTCTCTTCGATCACGTCATCCAGACATCCAGTCATTGCAATTCCGCACACTCAGATAAACTTGTTTTTTTTTTTGTTACATACCTTATGTCAATTTTTTTTTTAGTTATTTAATAGAAAAAAAGTCAGTTTTGTTTATTTAAAGGAGATTGTGATAAATAATAATTTTTATAGAAGGGGAATAGTAATAATATATTTATAAGTAGAAATGTTCAATGTTAATTTCATTGCGATATATAATATTATAATTTATAACTTATAAGTTATAAGGCATAGCGGGCAGATGTTTCTAGAAAAGAGAAGGACGAATCAAAAAGGACAAGTCATGACCTATGAGGGGCCGATAGCGTGGCTGGGGAAAAAAGGAAAAAAACAGAATGGAGATTAGAAAAACGGTTATATGATCGATAATAATTAATTGGCAGTAATTAGATAGTTGGTAAGAGGTTTAATTTTAAATTATAGTTAGACGATAACTTACAGTATTGAAAAAACGATTCTAAAAGCTGATAAATACTGACATAAAAATAGCCAAGAATTCGTTAAGGGTGTTAGAGTTCATTGTATATTGTCATTTTAAACTGTTTAATTTATGGTATGGTTTTTTTTCGAAAACGCCTGCGCAATTTGAAATATGATATTTCTGTTTATTTTACTATGTAGATGAATGTATAATATTATATCGACTAAGGTGCCGGATAAAACATAATTTTTACAGATCCTGCAGGACTACGAGAATAGTTTCTCGTTAAAAAAAACACACTATTTGCGGTATCAATATATTTATAGTCATTCGGTTACGACTGGCAAAAAAACTATAATATTATCGTGTTGCGGTCGGTTATTATAATGTTATTATTATTAATATTATCGTCGTCATCGCCAAACGCGCGTTGGCGACTCTTGGCTTTGCTGTTCGGAGAGAACGGTGACGGTATATTTATATTTATCAAAACATCGTTTTTAATCGGTTGACAAAAAAGCGAAAAAAATGCGCTTCCGGCAAATGCGTCTGTCTGCTCGCCTAAATACATAGTTGTAGTTGCCTGCCGTTGTCTGCGGTCTCGAACCCGTCATACATACCGCCGCGACGCCGCCGGTCGTAGTAATAAAAAAATATAATGTTTCTGTTTTTCTTATATTATATTATATATAAAAATAATTATATTGTAATATGTATTTTAAATCGAGCCTCGTGGCCGCGTGAGGGCGACGGCCGCCATGGCGGGAAATGCGTATACAAGCGTGTGTATACTATACCATAGTTGTAGTTGCGCGCGCACCGGCACCGCCGCCGGGGTCATTGTACCCGCAGAGAGACCGCCGCCATCTCACCACCCCACCGCGCACGCCGATACGATGTTACTATTATTGTTATACGACTTCGGCGGCGGCTATGCAACGGTCTCGCATGGTACGCGGAAAACGGAACGGAGGTGGTGGTCACAGGCAGGCGCGCAATCAATGAAGCGGCATCGTCGTCGTCGTCGTCGTCGCCGTCGCCGTCTCAACAGCTATAAAACAACAAAAAATAGGGTCACAGGAATATTATCGTTTCGTTTAATTAATTATTTTCCAATATTATTTGTTTATTATCGGTAGGCGTACCGCGCTGTGCGTCCGTTATACGCCGCCACGCCGCGCACTTATTACAAAATTATTACAACACGCGATAGGATTGAAGACACACGCGCTTTTCACGTTTCTTCACTTTTCTTTCGGGGCGAGGGTGCACGCGCCCTCTGGGTCTGGCGTACGCTTAGCGCGATCTGCCGGTGAAAGTCCGTGCGCGAGTTTGTTTTCGTCAAACGGGTCCCACCCCCTCCACCGGATCTCGACGAAATCAGACCAACACGGTTGCTCCGTCGACGTTTTGTAACCGGAAACGAGTTTTGTTGTTGTTGTTGATATCATTGCTATTATTTTCTTTCTTCTTCTATTCGTTTCTAGAAATATTCGTGTTGGCGTCCCTTGCGACCCTATCATTATGAAGGAAACACGTCGGTCCCCTGTCCACCGTCGACATTCATCCGCCTCTGCGCGTTAATCTCAGTATAAAAATAAGACAGAGGAATACGGGCATATCATATCAACCACTACGATAATAAAATACTTCGAAGGGTTCAATCGTTGCCGGTTTGGCCGATCGGCGCATATTCCATATGGTTTTTCAATATACATACAAGCAGTCTGATGCTCACGTGCCGGACCCAATATAATATTAAAGTGTATTATCATGTAATAACATATTAATTTGAGATAAAAGTCTGACGCAATCGCCACCGCCCTGATATGCGTATTATTTTCATAATAATATATTATACACTACATGTGACAATACGAGTCATTATCGTAATAATAACGAGTTTACAGACGAATAATAATTGTCCACGCTGATTTCGGGGAACGAAATAACGACCGCCGATGACTGATACTCGGAAATCAACCCTTGAAACTCGGCGGCGGAGCGTCGTAAAATATGAAGATTATCGTTTAGAAACCGGAGGATTTTTATAGGGCCATAAAACCCACATCCCGGATATTGGCCGAACTCTGTGTAATCGACCCTGACCACTTCTGTCTGCTGTGAGTGTAGTGCAACGCCCTTGTTATTGTTCACCGGTTGTTGGCGGTCGACGTAGGCCGAAGACTTAGCAGCCACCGATGATAATAATATTATTTATTATATTGTGTTCGGCACACGTCGATTGTTGTTTCGACGCCTCTGAAAACGTTATTCGTCCGCGCCGAACGTCATTAGATAATATTTTAAACATAAAAACGTAAGGCATAATGCCTACTTGGTAAAGTATTTTTAAATATCGGTGCACGAAGACACAAATAAAAAAAAAATCACGAAATCGGCTCTGCGTTATAGTTGTTGTTAGTGTACCAAGTCAATGTCTAGGTCACTGGATGTACTTCTTCAATTTTTTGAATTTTATGATAAATGAGTCATTGTATACGAAAAGCGATTCTGAGGGAAGGTGCTGGTCTGTCAGCTTGTATATTAATTTCCAATGATATTTTAATATTTTTTTAAAATTTATAATGCAATTGGTAATTTATTTCTCTACTAGCTGAATAACCCGGAGTTGCCCGGAAAACAATTTTGATAAATTAACTCCTTTTAGGTGCAATTCACTGTGGCCGCTGTGCACATCGAAGCAAAATCATATTATACTTTAATTTATAGCCATCAGGCGTGGAGTTGCCCGTGAGTCTCGCTTATGGTTATGCGAACAATATATTATCAGGTAGGTAAGCAATCTACCTGCGTTAGATTACAGACACAGTGAAGTTGGTGATAAAGCAAATGAATCAGTCAGAGTATATCAGTCTATATAAATTTGTTCTATGCTTATTGCTTACCCCTTTTAACCCCCGTAAGGTTGAATTTTGAAAAATAATTTCTTAGGGAGTTTTTTGCATCATAAAATGAAACTACTGACTAAATGTCATACTCAAAGCTTCAGTAGTTCCGGCTAGGTGATTTTTTTCATGTTAACCACTTTCAAACATTTTGACCCCTGCAGGGGCTGAATTTTGAAAAAATCCTTTCTTAGTGGGTGTCTTCATCACAAAACAAAACTACTGTCCAAATGTCATGTTCATAGCTTCAGCGGTTACGGTTAGGCGATGATGAATCACTCAGGACAAGTCATTTTATATATTATAGAGATTACTAATTGGTAAGTTAAACTAATTTTTTCCAAATCGCATAGGTACTATTATATATTAATATTATGTATAATAAATTAAGGCACTTCTAGGTGGAGCAGTTTTTGCTGTGCGGCACGTAGTTCGGTTTTGAGTTAAAATTGCCGATTTTCTATAATTTTTTCGTTTTTGAGCCTTAAAAATACTAAATAGATCCAATTTTCTTCCAGGAGTTAACCTAAAAGTTAAAAATTGAAGCGTTTTTAATGCTTATAGTAGTGATGTTGGACACTTAAAAAAACACACACTCCACATCATTGAATTTGTAAGACGAATACATTCGTCGTTCTCCTCAGAATCTACAATAGACAACCGCTGAGAAGTGTTGTAATAATTGTTCGTAATTTTCTGATAATAAGGTACAGTCATTAAATATTATAGTTAGAGTTGTCAAATAATATGTTTACGTAATTACGAAGTCTCTTAATATGAATGCGTGTATATGTAGATAATATAAAGCATGTAAGTATTTGAAGTTTGTAGAATTTATTCAAGTAATAACAACAATCAGAGTATATAATAAGTTTAATTAAAATTATGATATTTAGACTAAATGATTGAAATAAATAATATAATATTATAATTTAAAATACATTTTTTTAATTAACTAAAAAATATCCAAACTACTAAAAAAAAAAGTTCAATTTACATGTAAATGTACAAAATTTACTATAATACTTAGAACCGTTGCTTAAGGTTCTTATAAGTAATTACATTTTCATATACTTAAAAATGTTTCTCAGTTGTAAATTTGATCTTGATGGATATTGTTCTCATAGGAATAGTTGCGGAGAAACTTTCTCCCCTCTATTTTATTGACCGGATGTCAAATAACTTGACCATACTTGGGTACACGCACACTTCCGGATCCCCGCAAACGGAAATTGCGCAGCGATCTAGAGATCTATAAAATAGCATGTGATAATTATCATTATTGTCACGAATATGGTACTCTAAAAATATTGTAGGTACACATTGTGTGTTTGTTAAAAAAAACTGCATAAAAAAGAAAAAAAGAATAGGTAATAAAAAAATGCACTCATGAATATAATCATTTTCGAATGACCTAGTGGGCTCGGTTAGAGCCCATTCATTTTATTTTCATTTTTTATTCATAGAGTTCAACTATAAATTGTATTATCTAGGTGTGTGTGTTATTGCCTTTTTTATGAATGGCTTGTGAGTGTGACATCAAACGTACACACTACAGTACTACACACACAAATACACACAGGAAGTTGCATGCCAGGCAGATTAGAAAACTAGACAGACGGTTTTTGCGTGGGAAGGGGAAGTAATACGGCACACCGGAAGGAGGAATATAATGGCCAAAGAGTAGATTGATGTTAATAATTGAAATCAATGGAATCAATCTAATTCTTTTTTTTTTTAATATGCACGTTCAACTAATAAGTCGGTAATTACATTAAACTATTTACTTTATATAGGTACTTGATTATATCTTTTCTGTTTAAATAATAAGAATAACATCATAAATTTAAATATACGTGTTAAGTATATGCACACAATTTGCTTTATAGGAATATAATTATTTATACAACACACATTTCAATTTAGGGACCAACTTCTGCGTAAATGTATGCCAATTAAGAAAAATTCTAGACATTATTAAAAATTACTGTAATTCATTAATAATATCACAATTAATGAATTATACTCGTATACATCGTATAATCTAATGATTTAAATACCTACATAAATTTGTGAGGACTAACAATTATTTTGCAGCAATTACATAAGATATAATAATTATAATAGATAATTCAACAGATGTCAAAGTGTTACACAGTACCCATAAAAACAATATTATATAGGAATAAAAATATTTCAAAACTAAAAGTATTAATAAATATTTTGTTTAGGATTTTTTTATCACCCGAAACAGAAATTTGCATTTATATAGATTGTTATGAGCTATATTCTCGGAACTACTTTCAATACATTTTTAATGGAAATTTAAGTTTTACGTTCATACGTCAGAGTTATTGACGTTTATTAAGCTTTTAAACCGAAAAAAAAACCGGTAAGAAATCTAAGAACATTATTAGTAATACATCACAAGTGGTTCAAACTTCAAGTGAAAAATTAAATATACGATTGTACCTTATTACAATTTATATAACTATGCATAATATACAATGATTATATTATATTATGAAAATAACTATTATTTACACAGTTATTTAAATGTCATTTATCATTTGTTGATTATAATATTTAATTTGAATAAATTAAATTCATTCATAATTTATTTAAACGTGTAACACGTTTATAAGAAATGAATGAATCATATTTATTAAAACCAAACATCACTTAGAAATTAGAATCACTACTTAATTTTAAGATGTGAATAATTATTTCACAGTAAACAGTCGAATAATAACTATTAAAGTCTAAAGGGATTATTATTTTTCTTTGAGAGAAAATTATAAGTACAACCTCCAATATGAAAATAAAAATGATTTTTTTAAACAATCAAAGAATTACTTATATTACATTATTTTATATTTAACCGTGAATTATAGAATATTTAAAACAAAATAAAAATTGTGATAAACTATTTTTTTATTTTTTCAAAAATTATTATGAATTAAATATAAAATAAAAATACGTTCAGGATGGCTATTTTACGTAATATTGTGTAACTGAGTGTAACACAGTTTAAATGGAATATATTTTACTTAGATATATTCTTATATATTATAGTGCTTTTTTTTCCGAATTTGAAGATATTATAAAAATAAGCTTTATACGTATTATACTACATATTTATTATTGTTATAATAAATTGTTGAAGTTTTTTTTATACTTTTGAATGACAATATATTTACTCAGCATATATTTTTAATTCTGAAGTACTTAGAATATTTTTTTGAGACTTTGAGAGCATAATAATCAATTTTTGAAAGCAGGGTAGTATGGAAATATTTTGGTATTTTAGCACTTTGTAAGGTACCCTTACCTTATACCTCTCTGGTAGATCTCACTTTTTCTTTATTGTGCCGAATAAGTCTATAAAATAGAAAATGGCTAATATTTGTCAAAAATATTAACACTTTTTCATAATTTATAATTATACAATATTGGTTTTATTTTAATGCATTAGTATGTTTAATTTCAATTTAAACAATATTCAATAAATTACAATATCTACAATTATAAGTTTAAGATTATTACAATATTTTTAAGTGATTTTAATGAGATTATTATAATATAATATTTAGTTTAAAAGAATTAAAATGACG